TACTTTAAGGACCTGTGGTAATTGCTCCAGGAATTTGAATTAAAAAAACCAATGTGTCATTTTGCCTAATATCTTATTGTTCACTAATAACCAAATGGTTTAGCAGGGCAGATAAATTGAGATTTCTGTATTTTAAACTCTTAGAAAGCAACCTAACAGGTTAAAAAAAAAAATATATAAAAAAATATTTGAGATATGCAGCCGATGAAAGTGAAAATGTACCTACTTCTGGTGCATTTGAGTGATCTATGCTGCATGCATCCTAAGACTGCTGTGATAATAGGTTTCCTTAAAGGAGCACTAGAGGGTCAGGAACACACACTTGTATTCCTGACCCTATAGTGTTAAAACCACCATTTGGCCCCCTTTGCCTCCCTAAAGATTGTACAATCTTACTTGTGTTAAAGCCTGAAGCTGCTGCCACTGCCTGTGAACTTCCTCTGACCTCATCAGAATTGGTATGCTTCCCCATAGGATTGGCTGAGACTGACAAGGAGGCAGATCAGGGGCAGAGCCAGCACAATTCAAACAGTCCTGGCCAGTCAGCATCTCCTCATAGAGATGAATTGAATCAATGAATCTCTCTGAGGAAAGTTCAGTGTCTGCATGCAGAGGAAGGAGACACTGAATGTTGGTATGCCTTTTAGGCAGCCATGACCCAGGAAGGATCTCTAACAGCCATCTGAGGAGTGGCCAGTGAAGTTATCACTAGGCTGTAATGTAAACACTGCATTTTCAGGGGGGAAGGAGCCCGGCTTCCAGGCTGCATGGACTCACCAAGATTGAGCTCCTGCCAAAATCTGCACAATTCGGGACAAAATATTTTTTTTATATTTTATAAAGATAAAAAATAATTATTTTTGTGAACTATTGTATGTTCTATGGTATAGACACTGCTCTCTGACTGAAGCACTGACAGTGTCACCACTGATACCCAACTCACCTAAAAGTGATAAATGTACCTGCCTGATATAGATGCTGTGCTGCGCACGTATCTATCGCATACCATGGGTGATGGTACTGTTGGTGGGAACTTGGTGATATAAAGGTCTACTCAATATAGAGAGAATTGCAGGGAATTGTGGTGGAAATGTCAAACTTTAGGTCGAAATAGTGCACACAAACGGGAGAATTTTTCCAACTCTGCTACTTTGGCCTAAAGTTTAAAATTACCATCTCAATTCCCTGTAATTCTTTCTTTGAGTAGACCCTGTAATCTGCACTATAAGTAGGTGAAGATTAATAATGTGGGTTGGACATTGTGGGCGGAGCTTTGCTGCAGTGGGTGTGGCCAATTGTCAAGGTAGTTATTGATAGCTGTGCTGCATAGTGTCCCTGGAAATGTTTTTCAAATGTTGGCAACTATGATAGTGTGACGAAGTGCCCTTCGCCACTTGGTACTGGAGAGGCCTGCTTGCCAGCCTCCTCCCCTGTGACTATGACTCTTTGATGTATTTGCCTTTAAAGCCCCTATTCTACCTGCAGACAGACTATTTATGTAGGCTGCTTTATTTATCTTATGTTTTAGTCACCCTGTACCCATTATAGGTGCAGGGTGTGTGTAATGTAATTGTTTATAGTGTGTGTGTGTACTGTAATTGTTTATAGTGTGTGTGTGTACTGTGAAATGTATTGCCTTCTCTCCTGTACTGCTGAGGTTTGCTACCAACTAGGTGGGTTTGGCTATGGAGCTGGTCTAGTGCCCTCTGTTGGTAGCAACAGCAATATGCACTACCTGAATTGCAAGACTGGTTCATTTGCATATTCGGGTAGATTTGCATATTACTAATTCTGCAGGCAGGTGAGATATTTACTGTTAAATATTCTCTCCCCCCACCCCTTTAAAAATGTGCCATTGTGTTGTGATAAGTCACTGTGTGTTTCTTGATATGGTTTGACTGTTTGTGATTTTATTGAGGTTTCACAACAATGTTATTGTGGTGTCTGTATTGGCTGGTCCCAAGGGAATAAAGGTTTTGACAGTTCTTCTTGATCCCTCTAAACGTAGCCTTGTCTCGTTATTGGAGGGAGCTGTTATAATCACACTGGGGATTGCTATGCTCTGCATGCTCCCCTGAGCTTGAGTCACTTAGCTCTTTTAAGAGCTTGTTCCTGTTACGCTCTCCTGGAGGAGAGGCCACACGGTCCTGGAGGACAGAAGCTGATCCAGGGTGGAAGGGAGACGGCGAGACTCCAGTTAAGCTACGGCGGTTGTGGAGTCTGCGGTGGTTGTGGTGTCTGCTGCAGTGCTTGGAGTCCTCAGGAAGCGCTAGGAGCATCCGTCAACGGAGGGTACTCGGTCGGAGTACAAGGAGCTCCGTTACAGATAGTATTATATGTCAGGACATAACAATCATCTGTTACTTAGCAGGTCTTAAAATTATAAAGTATCCCATTTACCAAATGGCCAAACAAAAATCATGTCCAAATTCCTATTCCTTATGTTACTTGCCCTTGCAAATGATGTGGAGTCTAACCCTGGTCCCCCAGCTAATTCTAGTCCCATTCTTCCCACTAAAAAAAGGCCTCTCTTTTGTGCACTGCAACATCCGTAGCTTACTCCCTAAACTGAATGCACTGCAAGCCTGGTGTTCCCATTACAAACCAAAAGTCATTGTACTCTCAGAATCATGGTTAACGACTAAAATACCAGACACTGCCATTCAATACAGGGTTATTCATGTTTTAGACATGACAGAGCAAAGAGAGGAGGAGGCATTGTTATTTATGTTGACAATTCCATAAAGTTTACCCCCTTACAAAACTTTAGCCCTCCTGCCACCTTTGATTTCCTTTCTGGCACAATTGAGATCCCGTGCAGTAAATCAATCATTGTTGCAGGAATCTACCGCCCACCTAGCTCCCCAGTGCATTCCCTATCTGACATAGCCCATCTCCTTAGTGAAACCATGTGAACTGTTGGTCTTTGGAGATTTTAATATTGATTGGCTGAATACCAAAAATAATAGTTCTTGCACGCTCTTTAAGACTTTGCAGCTAACGCAATTAATCTCCTCCCCAACTCGCATAAACATTAAAAGCCATAACCATACCCTGCTTGATTGGATTCTCTCCACTTCTCCTGATAGAATCCAGGAGGCCTGTGTTCTCCCAAACAGTTTCAGGGATCACTGTTAAGTGTACTGCGTGCGCAAAATAAAGGCCATTAAATCCTCTCCCAAGGTTAAAATCACCAGGTCCTTCAAAAAATGGAATTTTGAATCCTTTCTTAATGACATCAAGAACCTCCTATGGCACAGATTAAAAAAAATATATCCCAGATCTAGACTCTGCTGTTGAATTCTTTCAGTCTGATATCTACAAATTTGGAATTTGCATGCCTCGCTGCGTAAGATGAGGGTAAAAGGAGCACATATGAACGGGATCACAGCTGACCTCATCCAAATGTACCAGTTTCTGGATTCATTGTGGTCAAAGTTCAGGCGTACTGGCTCTATGAATGATCATTGTGCATATAGACAATGGTGAAATATATGCACAAAATTGGCCAAGGCCCAATATTTCTGTGAAAATCTGAACAATAACCTATTAAACCCTAGAAACCTTTGGAAAGTCAGAAATAAATTACAAACTCCCCCAATCCACTCCCAACCCTCCACTGTCAAAGTGGATAACTAAACCCTGCAACTTCCCTTAGATGTAGCAAATGCCTTTAACAATTACTTTGTCGGATGCTTTACTGCCCTGATTGCCAAGCTAATAAATGACACACATCCTGAAACTTCAAATGTGGATCAGGCACCACTCAATTTGCAAAGGCCCAATACAGACAAGTTCATTTTTAGACCTGTACCTATTGGTGTCATTAAAAAAAACCTAAATAATCTAAAAATGAAAAACCAGTCTGGACCTGATCAAATCCCAGCAATGCTGTTAAAGCTCAGTGCGCCAGCAATTGCTCAACCCGTCGCAACCCTTATTAACGAATCCTTGGTGTCTGGATACATACCCAAACTTTGGAAGACTGCGAGAGTAGTGCCTATCCATAAAAGTGGTGACGCTACTTTGGTTTCTAACTATCGCCCAATATCATTGCCCCTGGTATTGTCAAAAATCTTAGAAAAATGTGTCCATACGCAACTATGTGAGTACTACCAACAATCAAACTATCTGACCCCTGATCAATCGGGCTTTCGCCAGAATCACTCCACTACAACTGCCCTCTTAAAAGTTTGCAATGACATCCAAACTGGCATGGAACTGGAGCTATTTTCCTTGATTTTGCAAAGGCCTTTGACACAGTAGACCACGACATTCTACTGCACAAACTCAAAAACTCCGGTATTGGTGATTGTGCGGTAACCTGCACCGGATCGCTTGCAATATGTGTCCATTTCTGACCGTGACTCCCTCCCTCTCCCAGTCACGTGTGGTGTTCCCCAAGGTTCTATTCTCGGCCCCTTACTATTCACATTATTAATAAATGATCTGCCTAATGTCTGCACATCCTCAAATGTACACATGTACGCAGATTAGGACCGCAACCAGAAATTTGGGGGCCCTTGACAAAGCACAAGGTCTGGGCTCCCACACCCTCCCTCCCCCCGCAATGAATGCAGTGCGTGTCAGTGTAATGAATGCAGTGTGTGTGTCAGTGTAATGAATGCAGTGTGTGTGTCAGTGCAGTGAATGCAGAGCGTGTGTCAGTGCAGTGAATGCAGAGCGTGTGTCAGTGCAGTGAATGCAGAGCGTGTGTCAGTGCAGTGAATGCAGAGCGTGTGTCAGTGCAGTGAATGCAGAGCGTGTGTCAGTGCAGTGAATGCAGTGTGTGTGCCAGTGTAGTGAATGCAGTGTGTGTGTGTGTGTTTACTAGTTTATGCATGTAATGTAATAATGTAAATGTAATCTGTTATTCCCCCCTCCCTGTTTCTTACCTGGTTCAGGGAGGGGGAAGATTTCATGATCTCTGGTGGTTCGGTGGCATTCCATGATCCCTGGTGGTCCGGTGGCCCCTGGCTCCCTGTATTTGCAGAGGGGGCCCAGCGCACTGCAGCTGTACTTTACAGCATTTCCCTCTCTCTAACTCCCACGAGACGTGGTCTCTTTTCAGCTATGTAACTATGTAACCCATGGCAACGCTCTAACGGCCGCACGTCTCGCGGGAGTTAGAGCGAGGGAAATGCTGTAAAGTACAGCTGCAGTCCGCTGGGCCCCCTCTGCAAATACAGGGAGCCTGGGGCCCGCGGCTGCACCTATATATAGCGATCATATATATTATTGCAGAGAGTAATTGTGGCCAAAGCAGTCCGGGCCCCCAAGGACAGCCGGGCCCGTGACAGCCGTTATGGTTGTCACCCCCTGATGGCGGCCCTGACGCAGATGACACAGTAATCTATGCGAGCAAATCCAATCTACCGCAGAGGTAGAAAAGTGGATTGCAAAAAACAAACTCTTCCTAAACACTGACAAAACTGTCACAATGATCTTTGGAACAGTACCCAAATTACAAAATTTCCACCTGTCCATCAAAACTAATTCAAATAGCACACTGACCGCAGTCCACTCTTTCAAATACTTGGGTATGATGTTAGACCCCAATCTATCTTTTGGCCTCCACATAGAAAAACTTGCATCTAAACTTGATCCAAAACAAGGTGCCCTGTACAGAAACAAATCCTGCCTAAGCCCTGTATTAATATTGTTTGTATTTTATTGTACCCTATTGTAACAATGTAATGATTTGTGGACCCAGGACATACTTGAAAATGAAAGAAATCTCAATGTATCTTTCCTGGTAAAATATTTTATAAATAAATAAGTACAAGCTCAGATGAATAACAACATGACACATTACACTGTGTCATGATTTATAGAACATGATTTATTTTAGTGGTGGAAGTTTTATTTCCTCCATTTTGGGTTTGTTGAATGTGCATTCTTGTAAGGGAGGTCGTGTTTTTTTTTTTTCTTGGGTCTATTTCCATTTGTTTTAATGCATGAAAAATGAGAGAACTTTCATTTCTGAAATGAAAATGGAATTATGGAAAAATTTTAAGTATACTTTAACTGTATACTTTTACCACAACAAGAGGACATAGTCTTAAATTAGAGGGACAAAGGTTTAAAAATAATATCAGGAAGTATTACTTTACTGAGAGGGTAGTGGATGCATGGAATAGCCTTCCAGCTGAAGTGGTAGAGGTTAACACAGTAAAGGAGTTTAAGCATGCGTGGGATAGGCATAAGGCTATCCGAACTATAAGATAAGGCTAGGGACTAATGAAAGTATTTAGAAAATTGGGCAGACTAGATGGGCTGAATGGTTCTTATCTGCCGTCGCATTCTATGTTTAACTGTTCTAGTGAGGTTTGAGTGAAATTATGTTGCTATAATTCTAAGTAAAATATGTTTTAGAAAAAGTAATAGCTACTTTTGAAAATTCCCTTTTTGAAATGCAACAGATCCGTGTTAATCCTTTTGGCTTCGAATGTGAAATAAATTTAACCGTTTCATTAGCAGACCATATATCCCATTAATATTGAAGTGCAAATTGAACATTTTTATTTTTATCTGCAAAAATGCCTTAATCCAGATAACATTCCATAACTTTTATACTACTTTGAATTAGCTTTGTGCTTTGCAGTTATGAGATTTTTGGTAAATTAAAATTGTTGCATATAGGCTACTTAGGGAATTAATGGAACTCATTAAGAAATTGTCCCGATATTGCCCAGGTTGTTTCTAAATCCAAGCTAACACATCTCTACTGAAGATTCTTTTCCTACTATAAAGCAATAGAAATGAACTTCATTTTTCTGGAGGTGGTTAGACTTTTCTGATTTGTTTTCAGATAAAACAAATACATTCTGTAAGTGCAATGAAGTGCGACAGTAGATAAGAGAGAAAAGATGTTTTCAAGCAAAACTATTTTTCCCAATCAATATAGCAAAGAGAGATCACTTCAACGCCATGCACAGACTTCCCAAAATGGTTTCCCAGGGCTTCTGAAATTAAATTTATTATGACTGGAATAGAGATGTGAAGTCAAGTAACCTGAAACAATCGTGGCGTGCAACTATAATGTTTGATACGTTCGGGACTGTATGAAAAAGCTTACATAATATATTGGTATATTTTGCCCTTTGGAGTTGAATAGTGCATTGCCCCATGTGAAGTTTTATGACAGACCAGTATAAGGTATTTTCTCATTATAGCGTCACACCTTGTAAATTTTTATTTTTATTTTTTTTCACCTTAACATGATTTCATTTGCATATCAATTGTGTAGTGTTGTAGATAATGTCTATGCTATATATGCATGATAATGGCATCCACAGATGTCTTTGTATTTTTTTAGGGGAGGGGGATGGAGGCAGGGGGTTAAGATTTGACATGGTCAAAGAGAAAGTTACCTTTTTATCTCCATTCACTTTGGGGTTTTATAGTAAAATTAATATGCATTTAATTTTATGCTAATCCTCAGAAACCATATGGATTTTTATATTGTTTTTCTAAAAAACACTAAGATGTAAAACGAACTTGCATTGAAGTAGATAATAAAAGCTAATTACACACACAAACTGTATCTGTTGGAAAGAAATACATTTTATACATTGACATCAAATACATACATACGTACATACATATGACAAGTGTAGATGTAATTACAGGAAAAAGAAACTCCAATGGTGAAGTAAGCACTGATGAAACATCTGATATATGAATTAAGTAATGTACTTACATGTACTAGAGCAGAACCTGCTCTAGTATAAACAGCATGGATACTTACATTTACACCATTGGAGTTTCTTTTTCCTGTCTTTACCTCTACATATGTCCTGCATACCACACTTTATTAGAAGCATCCGTGGTGACTACATCAGTATATATCCTTCAATGGGGATTGATCTGTCCATGCCCAATACAGCAGAGCTCTGAGTTAGCTCAATAAAGTGTGAGTGGAAGTGACACAAGATTACCTACCACATATACTTTGTACATACTGTACAGCACTATTATTTTGTTTTTTTATTTTTTATCTTTGAGGTCAATTGGCTATAACTTTGTGAAGACCTATGTACGTATAATTTTTTGTACATACACTGGTTGGGCACAGTTTACTCTTTTTTTTTTTCTTCTTTATTTACTCACAAGGTCTGGGAATCCTTGAATTGTATACTGCTGCCTGCATTTACCGTTGTTAAACTCTATAGTGAGCGCCTATTATCTCTTTGTACGATTAAAATATTAAAACATACATATTAATCAATGACACATTACAAAATCTGTGCAACAGTCACAATAGTAGCCTAAATAGGCTCATTTTCCCACTGGGTAGCAGCTAACACCATCTACCTTCAAAGAACAAAGTGCAATGTAGTCCAAAGTGAAGTGTTGATTTAAAGTGCAAAATAAGGTGCACTAATAGGCGCTTGTATACCAAGTTTCTGGGTTTTCTTATTGGGGCTCTACACGTTTCGGAATCGGACATCTGTCATCTTTCCCAGTTTTCAGCTTTTTAAATCCACGGGCATGCGCGTCTTCTTTGGTGCTCGCACATGCTTGAGTTACACCGGACCTGATGTCATACATCATGACGAACAGACTGCTCCCTGGTGCGGACATCCAGACTAGAACGCAAAAAAGTTATTGTCATTATACACAGCTGAAAATCTGAACTTTCAAAACTAAAACCGTTCAGGATCACTGAAAACTGTATTCACAATTGATTTATATTATATAAAACAATCTAAGCATAAGGATATCTAATAGTATGTGAATTTGACCAAATATTTGATATATAAGAACAGTAGTTTCACTATAAATGATAGTGTATGCATGAATGCAGTAGATGCACATACAACAAAATCCATCAATTTACATACAAAAGAGGACAAATTAACTCTATCAATAAAAATACTAGATATAGATAGTTCAAGTGGACATACAAAATATGTAGTGGAATTATAGAGGGAATTCAGTTTATAGAGGGAATACAATTCTTGAGAGGGAATTATCAAATTGATCATGATGACCTATAAAAATCTGTAAAACTGTATAAACATTGTATATATACCAATTTATACATGGCTATATTACCCACTATCAGGGGTGAGGGCCGGGGATACCCTATGTCCTTTGTTTAAATAGCCCCCACTTGCAGGGCACGGGTGGGGGCACGTTAATAGTTGCCCCACCATGGGGCCATTTATGAGAAGGGTTTTTTTTTTTTTTTACTACAGTAAACATTTACTGACTGCTCACTGTTTATTAGACATGCTCCTGCTTGCGGCATTGCAAGTAGGGGCAGATTAATTACTAATACGAAGTATTAGTTGGCTGAAAGACCAATCTTGGTCTTTCAGCCTTTTGGCAGATAGCTCCCTAATGCCTTGGAAATGATGGAGCTATTTGCTAAGCGGCTGCAAGATGCAGCCGTGGCACGAATAAGATCAGCATTTCATTCATTCTAATGAAATTCCGATCTGAACAAAGTCCCGAATTGCGTCCTAACACAAATGGACAAACTGTTCTCATTCTGTTAGGACAAAATTTGGTTGTTTCGCCGGCGTTCTGTCTAAATCACAGGACGTTCGGGAATAGTGAAAGCAGACATCGCGAGGTCACGGAGGAAAGGCAAGAATTTTGGGAAATTGCTCTGACCCACTTGAGCTGGTCAAGCGTAGGAAAAATACATGAGACAAAGTAGTCCCTACTTTGTCTAATGTTTTAAAGAAAACTAGAGCAGATATGAAATGAAGAACAGATCCTGAGAGAGGGAGAGAAGAGGAAGCGATTAGGACAAGGTAAGTTCGGCATGACAGTGCCGCTTTAAGGGTAAGACAAGCTTTTGAAGCTATGTCCTTAAGGGGTTAATTTTCTATTTTCATCTTGTTTCACAACAATGCACTTTTTAACTATATAGCAAAATTATTTAGTGAATTCCCAGTCCCATGAAACTCATGTATAGGTATTTGCATATGAAGTTACTAAAGTACTTTGAGAAAAGTATATATTGAATGTATATGATCTTACTGCATTCCACTGTATACTTGCATTATGTTATGCTCATATATGTATTTACTTTTCTGTGTACACAGACATTCAATAAAGTACTAATGGTAAAAAAAATAAGGAGAGACAGACAACTTGAAAACATTCTCCAAATCAACCTTTTTCCAACTCGGATAATTTAATCTAAACATTTTATA